CGTGGGAAAATGCCTTTCCTTGAACCTGAAACAGTTTCGAATTTGAGTGTCCACGAATTTTTAATAACACGCGGCAATAAAGATCCCCGATCGCGTGAACCGAACCACCTACCACACGATGAGTCGGCCGATCAAACGCTGAAGGTGTCGAATTGAGGCTTCACGATATACGAAAGGAGGCACCGTTTAGCGATCGACTGGCGACCCGCGTCCGGCCCATCAATCATAGCACACCTGATATTCAGATCTAGATCTCTTTGTTCTCGCCGACGACCGACTCTTGTTCTCCCGGCCGCCCTCGAATTTCCATCGATCGAAATGTTTTTGGCTGATGCGTACGAGACAAATGAACGCGATGTGCCAACTCGATTTTGGAACTGGTTGAAACTGATTTGAAACATTCACAGTATAATCAATTGCTAGCTTTCAGTATGGTAAATTTTTTGAATGGACAACTTCTTATGGCAGGGTGAACCGCTTCGTTACCTAACGCGTAACGGCGCCAGTTTGTCTGGCTTCCCTTTCTCTCACGCATACGTCAGCGGAAGGCAGGCTCCTCCCCTCTCGGTGTTTAGTGTGCGTTAGACATATACTGTTGACAGTATTATAAAAATCTAACCAGCGAGCACGTGACATTCTTTTATTATGTGAAACGTGGCTCAAAAATGATGATACTAATTTTGTGTGCATCATTAGTATCATCATTTAATCCTACGAAAGTAACAACTGGCTTATGGTAGCTATAATATATGTACATACACAAAATCATCAAATGGTTTGAATCTTACCTTTCAGGAAGGAATCAAATGGTAAGAAAAATAGAACTTTCAGAAAAAAAGGGGAAAATTTTGTGTGGTGTTTCACAAGGATCAGTTTTAGGACCCATAGTCCATAGTAGTGATGAAACATTTCATCTTTCAGATGTGCTCTTAGTGATCAATAAAGAAAACCAATCTAAATTTTTAGGTATTCACATTGACAATAAGCTCAAATTTATTGAACATATCAAACAACTTAATAGTAAAATTTGTTCTGGATGTTATGCAGTGAGAGTAACTTCAATAAATTTGGGAATCAAAACTGCCAGAACGGTGTATTACGCCCTCGTTGAATCCGACCTACGTTATGGAATACCGTTTTGGGGAGTATGCAATTCATCAGCACTTCCGTCTGTATTAGTACTGCAGAAACAGCCTATCAGGTATATGTGTAAGATTAAACCTCATGATTCGTGCAGACACAAATTCTTTGAACAAAAGATTTCAACAGTGGTTGCAATGTTCATTTTGGAATTGGTCTGCCTCATTTACAAAAATATCGCCCTATTTGAGGCTTTATGCCATTCTTATAGCACCCGTTCCACCGCGTTGAAATTGCCAATGCCTTTAGCAAATTTGGTCAAGAAATGAAAGATTTCATTGAAAAATAACCGTTCCTTACATTATCATAACAACATATATAAAATTCAAGTAGTAGTAGTAACAGTTTCAATATTGAATAGTTCAACTTAGATTAATTTAAGTTATCACTTCTATCTACTTCTATCTACTACTTTCAAGCGTGCCACATTTCCCAGAAAAATATACAAATCTTTGTGAGCTTTCGACAAAAGAAACAGTTATAGAAACCCATCAGGATCAGTTTAAATTGACCTGGAACCAGTCAAAGTCAAAACATTATGTAACTAGTCAAAATATTCATGATTGTAATGCCAGGATTTTACTTTTATGTTTACTTGACTCATGTACAAACCCTAAACTCATTTGAAGGTTCATGAATACTATAGGGACTACATAACTTTGACAATTGCCGGGCATCTTGTTGAAGCGACATCTATCAAATCAGTTGTCATTTATTCGATTTTGAGTCCTGCGACTGAATTCTGATTGAGAAATTCGAACGTACACCCACGGAACAACTATGAAAATCCACCTTCCTCATCGCTAGATTTCCAACATCCCAAACTCGATATATCACAATTAAGAATTCCATCAAGGTGATCTATATCATCCTAGTATTGTGAAACTAATACATATTTATACGGGTTTAAGCTAAGATAGTCCGCGTTAGCCACATGGTCCTCATTAAAACTGTTTTTCAACAAAGGTAGTTCTAATAAATTCGGCGGAATGTGACACTCACTCGTGTTCTTATGCCCGTTTCGAGTATCTTCTCGTAATATTTTTGGAGTCGGTTGACACGCTTATTTCAATAAATATTTGATATTATCACTTTTACATTTCTTCTCAATGGTAACACGTCGTATCGTACCGGTTTTGGTTTGTTCGGATGAGGTTGACAATATTTCCCGCTGAATGGGAAAGGTTTACGTTTAGCACAGTCATATACGACTATTTTTTTCGTTTGTCTAGATTTTATGATATCGCCGAGAATGAATGAGATTCTCAATATAGCAGTCTACTTCCAGGCAAAGTGACGATCAAGTTTTTGGTTGACTCAGCTTTGTCTTCAAGTTTTGTTGTAAATCTCAAATTGACTCATTTCTATTTATTTTTTGATGTTGGTAAATTTAATATTTCATCTTAATTTCATTCCGTCCTAAATATTTGTTTGGCAGAGTAAGGTCCCCATAATGCCCTTTTATACCTGTGTCTATAGTTTTGCAGTACAATACCTTTTGAATATTCATTACAATATCAATATTATTACCGTCGTTTTCCCTATCTAGAAACTTATTCGGTGTGTGATAAAAATAGGAATATTTTTCTGAAATGGAGATCCTATTGACTGTCACGCTTGGAAAAACTCGCCTTCAAGGCTAAGACCCAAAAATACACAGCATTTATTTACAATAATAGAGTAATTTGCTAAACAATGTATTGCATGAAGCTAATGCTTCGCTGCATTTGTGCAACAGCGGCGATAAATAGGTACCTTATCACTTTTGAAATCTGCGTTAAGTGATATATAAAATGGAATCAAGGAAAGTGAAAACAATCGTTTGTTCCTTTGACCTGGCTTCATTTCTTGGCAATGTTATAACTAGTGTCGCTGAATGTTGCAATCGAGAAAAAAAACGTTCGACTTTACACGCACTATTGACGATGCAGTTGACACGATTTGGGTACGATGCATCGGAAAAAGAGTCAACCTAACCTAGGTTTTTCGTTTTGTATTTCTTCATTCGTCTTTCTTTCGTAATGCAGGATCACTATAATGGTTGGAAAAGACCATCTCTTGCTGAAATTTCTGCTGTCAAAAGTCAACCCTTGAATTGTCTTCTCACATCCAAATGAGATGATAATTTATTATTCGGTGAGAATTTTTTCGAAAAGTTATCACTTTGTTCTTCATTATTGAATTCTCTTCGAACTTGTTTCCTGCTTTTTTTTCGTATATTCAGATCTTAAGATAGTTTGATTTCAGAATATTAGATTTCTGATCTAACAGATCCGACAAATATCATTACCCTGAAGACTGAAATGGTGTTGATTTCTCTGTTACTCTTTCGAAATATTCGAAAAAAATCCGTTACAATTACCACGGTCAATCGATTGTTGAAATACTAGCGGCAAGTGATCGATATTTTCATTCTATTCATTTACAAACTGGTGAACAATGGTCGGAAGTTGGGTTACATCGGCATGTTGAAGTTTTATTGTGTTGTTTGCTTCAAGGATTTTTCATGGTCTATATTGTTTCACGACTGAATAAGATTGTGATCTTTCAACGAAAAGTTTCCTGTTTGAATTGAGGAAAATGAAGTTATTCGTGAAATTTGGCGCAGTATGCTAAATGCGAGATATGAATTTTACAGTATTGAGCTGTTAAACACAAAGTTTTTTTTCAAAAATCAACAAACTGGAAACAACAAACTTCAAATCGACAATAAAAATGTTTTAATTGAACAGTTTTTATTCATTCGAAGTCTGTATGAGGTGTTATATATCTTTGTTTATAACGTGGTCAATAAATTATCTATTTATCTGTCTATCTATACGGTCTCCCCAAAAATATCAATATAGTATCGTTTGAATATTCAATAAGTGCCTTTGCCTATTGTTCGAATCGTATTGCAATTATATCGGTTTTTTTTTTTAAAGCAACGAGTAAAAAAATCCTGGTGAAATCATCAGTTTCGAACGGAGAAAGTCTGCCGTCATTTTACTCTCATGCCATTAGGAAGAAGTAGATTTGCAGAAGACATTTTTCAAATATCCCTGGTTCCCATAAATCTCATTTCATTTTCTCTCAACAAAAGTAATTTACTATAAAACCATGTTCATCGTCAATACATAGGAAAGCATGTCTTCGGAGATCTGGTACAGAAAATACCTATCAGCAATGAAAACATATACGGTTGCTTTTAATTTGCAGTAAAACGGAAGATAATTCTGTTAACGATTTCATTGTTTCATCTGTGGATGCGTTACATGCCTACGTGTTCCATACAAGACGAATGTTAGATGTGGAGCATGTTTGATATATTCTTGGGTGTTGTTTTTCTATGAAGAAGACGCTGTGTAAAAATATTTCTCTGAAGATATCATAGTACTGGAAGAACTGTTCATTTTTGTACGAAGAAATCTATTCATCCCTTCAATGCATATAACGTTAATTAAACAAGTATCAATTGAAAGAAATATTCAAGTGTTTAATTAATGTTCAAGTGTTTAATAAATCTTATTACAAAATCGAAGGATAAATATAACATGGCGCAGTCAGTAGGACTGTAACATATGCCTCTAAATATATATTTCCAGTTTCCTATTGTAGAAAACATAGCCTGTAGCAGATATAAGTCTGAAGAAAAAAATTTAAGAGTTCGTAACATCTGAGAAATCCTGATGATTTGGAAAAATAATCAAGTTATATGGAAATCTCAACTTGAACGTAAATAAAACAAAATATATGATATTTACACTGCCCTATAAACAATGTTTTCAGTCATTTTGAAAATGCTCTTTTGGAGTACAATATTTCAATTGTGATAGTAGAAGTAGAACCGTTGAAGCTAACGTTACTATTATTATTTTCAGATGAATCAACAGTGCAAAGTGTGTGGAGAACCTGCAGCGGGTTTTCATTTTGGTGCTTTCACCTGCGAGGGATGCAAGGTAATAATAATGATAATACTTTGATTTTCAGACCCAGATAACGGGTGTGCGGAAATAAAAATTCAAATCCTTTCGTCATCTGAGATGATAAATGAAAAATGACGTCGCATTCGAATAAATGGTATTTTTTGTCGATGTTAAACACGTTCTCAGTGTGTTCAGACATCTAACATAAATTATCAACAATGTAGGCTTGTTCTTTCCTTGTGAACATGTAAATGTCTTCCATTGTTGATGTATGGATTGAAGGATAAGTAGAATGATTAGGCACGGAAAATTGTATGACCTGATTTGTGTGTTTCCGACCAAATCTCACGAGTAGATTGATGACATTAATTTTATGGGAAAAAACATTATTTCGGTAAATTAATAGGGATTTGTGGAAAAGAAATAAGGCATTATCAACCTTTCATGCAGCTCACAGTTCCTTCCTGACGTACTTGATAGACATAATATACTATAATATGCAAAAGGCCTTTAATCACATTGATTTGCAAATAATCATCAATAAACTTGGCAGTTAGACATACTTCTTATTTCACAGTCCTACTTTTTAATCGCACACAGTGTGTTAAAACTGAAGATTATCAAGTATTTCTTCACTTATCTACCAGTGAAGTTCCACAAGGGTCAATTCTTGGACCATCCCATATCCAGCATAATCTTTCACAATTCATGAAGTCATCGAAATTTCTTAATGCTGATGATCTGAATATTTGTAAGTAATGTTATTGAAAATTGTGAATGCTGTTCAAAACTGAAATTTTTGACCGGTGTTTAATACCATGCTTCTTGAGACAATGGCTCATCATCCTCTTCTTGGTTCATATCTTCAATTGAGCTTGACTTTTATGTTCCATATTTTTTTTAAATTTGAGAGGTTTGTATTTATTTGATTCTGATAATACTCTTATTGATTTGTTGCGATGTATTCTAAGTCTTTTTCCTGTTTTGCTTCTCTCTCCTCATCCAAAGAATTAATTTGTTTCTTCTGTGTAAATCTGTTCAACTAGTCGCTGGTTGTAATATGGATAAATGTATATAATACATTGTTTCCTTTACATTTCATAAACGACGAGTGTTAGATAACTTGTTCAATCTAGATCTAAGCCAGTGGCTTTCTAAACGTTTGATCTATGTAGAAGTGAGTACTTCCTTGGCCCTTTTTGACTTTCAGAACATCGATTTATTCGTTTGAAAGACTTACTTTTTAACGATCTATCTATTTATCTACATATCTAAAATATGATATACCCTCTACACATGTATACCCTTCCGCTTGCTTGGAGAATGTTTTGTCCCACTGTGTCAATTAGAGTAACAGTTTTTGCTCTAGCCTGCCGAAGTAGTCTCTTTCACTTTTTTTATTGCGCTTCTCTCGATTGTTTCGTCGTCGTTTCGTACTGTGTCTTCAATTTGCGATTCAAATAGCGTGTAACATATTGCGTGTCAAAGTTACGCAACGCGTGATAAAGGAAATGCTATCGAAATTGTTTGGTACTCCTAATGGATTACTATAGTTAGTTCAACATGATCGATACGTCTTCACAATGAAATAATACTGAAGGAGGTTAATGAATGTAATGAATGTCGCTGGAGTATTACAAAGTTGCGGGGTGACAGAGGTGGACTGGGCCTTTGCCATGATTTAAGAGGTACTAAGTAGAGGCCTACCCAACCCCAACAACTCAAATTATGCTGTGAAAGATTTGAAATTATCTAGGAATAATAGAGTTTTTCCCACCCTTCTATAAAATGGCTGTTTGCAGCCTCATCCTAAGTATTTGTTTGGAAAAAAAGGAACCTGTTGTGATGTTAATGCCACAAAAGAATGAGAGACTCACCTGGAGGGGAAATCTACTATCAGTTATCTATAAAGACTCAGTGAAGGCGTTATGAAAAATATTACCTAGGCCAGTTCGACCCTGAAGTTTCGTGAAAACAAATGCTCTTTGTTACATTTCATTGACCAGTTACTGAACCGAAAAGCGTTGGAGTAATACTTTTTCAGTGCCCAGGTTGATAAATTGCGGGAATTAGTTCAGTACATTGCGAAGAAAAACTCAATGTCAAAATCAATTGGTGAAGCAAATCGTGGTTATTAATGACATGATCTAGTGGACATTTGTCAATAACGCTGAAAAATTAGTCCATATTTAGTAGGGTTCAAAGTTTATGTATACAAGGCGCATCAAAAATGTTGAACTTTTACTATTTCTTTTTAAACAGGGCCAACAATTTATCTAGAAGTATTTTGGTTAACCGAGACCAACCTAATGACGTTGTACGCTGCGCCTATATTATTATAAATATTATTCGTTTTCAAAAACGGTTGTGAAATACAAAATATAGTGTTCAATGCAAAAGTTTTGAGATTATGGATACACTATATGTATCAAAGAAAATTTTACTATAATGGCTTCTGGAAGACGGGGTTTTTCAACGAAACTAGGCCTTTCGCATACAACAACTTGGCGAATTTTGCGTCGTCGTTGCTCTTACCTGCACTCGTACAAAATGCAACTGACCCAAGAACTGAAGATAAACGACCATAGACGACAACGTTTGTTCGCTAAATGGGCTCTGGAGCAGTTGGCAACTGATCCTGAATTCCTGGATGAATGGCTGCGTGAACAAACAAAATTGTCGAATTTTGAACGATACCAATCCACATGAGATCCAAGAGCGTACAATCCATACCGAGAAAGTCACTGCTTGGTGTGGATTTTGAGCTGGCGACGTCATCGCTCCATATTTCTTCGAGAACGACGTTGGCCAGGCCATCACTGTCAACGGCGAGTACTTTCGGCCTGAAGGAGGTACGTTTAAAATATATGAAAATCAAGTAATTATAGGTAATTCATATTCAACATGATTGTGTGGTCTTATTTACTAAAAGATTTCAGTTCTTTTGTCATCCTTCAAGAACCATATATTAGTATATCTCAATATTAGAATGTGGTAGACATTTTCACACAATACTCAGCTTCCTATTTCGGAATGAAATTGAGTGATTTGAGTTGGATAATTTTGAGAATTGTTGCTCAAAAATAATTTACAGAGGAATGGTCATTCAGATACAATATTCTGTGAGAAGTTTTTACGAAACACGCAGTAATGAAATACAATAATAATACTTGTCCTGAATACATCTTGTTTGCCTAGAACTGAATTTGGACAACTGATAATCAAAAAACTACTGAAACCTAGAGCAAAACTTTGCGTATCACCCTCGTAATCTCATTACCGTGCCGGCAAAGTTGACAATTGACTAAGGAACCGAGCACCGTGTAATTCGACCGCGTTTTCACGGTAGGCCGGGTCGGAAATCGAAAAGAAATGTCGTAACTAGCCGCGACGTGACGCACGGCGTCGGTAGCACCGACGTGCATGCGCCGGCAGACCGTTTGGCGTCACGCCCGGAGTAACCGGAGCGTGAAGTTGCAGAAGAGGTCCGGCGATACGCAATTATACACGCGATTACGGTTTTTTTTGCGTTACGCGGGAGTATAAATGAACACTGAGTGTGTAGTATCACGTGAATATTATTTTATCGCACATATTATCTATTTCTAATCATGCGATAATAGTGGATCGAGTAACGTGGCAGAAAAGTAATGTTTTTTCAATGAGTTGGGAAAATTATTTGAATGTGAATTACCAACATCTCAACTGCGTACAAATATACAAAGTACAAAGTTCCAAAATTACCCTCTCTGACAATTTCTACAGATCAGGGGCTGCTATTACTGAAAATGTTCCTATCAAAAGCTAACCTTACCTAGCCTAAGAAGCTGGACAGGACTCCAGTGAGCTAATTTACGTAGTCACAGGGAATATTAGATCACACACAAGAGAAGATTTTGAGTTCATTTGCCTACCAAAAGAGATCGCAGCTAGTTTTTGAAAGATTCAATTGTTGGGTACCGCAAATGGCTTGGTTGGGTAGGAAATCGAGCAAGAGCACAAACAAAAATTGCAAGATCTTCTGTCATAGAAGCGAAAAAATGTAATGCAAAAATGTCCATTTATTAACGGCTTGTATATATGTTATGAGTACATTACTTTCATGCTTCAAATATTTGATAATACCCACATATTTTATCGCAAACACATCTTATTTCAACAGATAAAAATACGTGTAATTGTAATCTAGGATTTGTTTCCATAATGATATCATTATTCAAGTTGAAAAGGGTATTTTTAGGAGTGGTTAATTTTTGTGAAAGGTTTTGGCTCTCTCCGTCTCTATCTTTATACAAAAAAATGTGAGAATTTTCTAAAGAAAGGAAGTAAACAATCAATTTCGCGGCAGAGATTTTGAGTGTTACTATTTTCATTCTGAAGGCCGTCGTAGTTTCGAACTGCTTCCTAACAATAGCAACACATAAACAAGGGATGCGAATAGTAAGACTGAAAGTTAACTATATACAAAGATGGGAAATGGATATTTTCAACATTGAAAATACTGAACAGTTGCCACTGCCTGTTAATCTTCTTCATCCTCAGATATACTGACTGATTTGAAGGAAATGTAAACAGATAAATACAAATCCAGGACCCAATTAGTATCTGAACTAATTTGAAAATTGCACATGAACCTGTCTACGCAACCGCTAACGGTTTCAATGCCAAAGTTAAACGACGATGCGGTCGTAAATTTCACCGACCTGAAAAAAAAATCGAAAATGTCACAACTCGTCGTGGGCGTAACGTAAGCAGGCATTGTTTCGGTCGTGTGACGGATTTGCATAACGGCAGCCCTCTCGATTTGAATATAATTGCATACAATTAGTGGGTGATTACACAGATGGCCGGTAGAGCGGCAGAAAAGTGCCAAAGTGCGTTGTGTGCGAAGAACTGCGAAAAGCAGCCGTTTGCTTCCAGCACGTCATTATGAGCTCGGTCGTAAACCGATGAAACGGGAGGTTTTGAAATTTGCATTGCAGAATAATGTAAAAATTGACGAAAGCCTGATTCAGGTTTGGAATTAGCGTGAAGTTACCCAAAACTTCTCATCCGCAGTTTATGACATGGGACTATCGAACAGGGTTTAGAATAAAATTTGTGAACAGTGTTGCCAGATTGTAGATAATTATAAGTTTACCAGTATTTTGATGTTATCACATTAAAAACACGATATATTATTGAAACATGTTGATAAATGAGTCAGCATTCTACATTATCTCAGCCAACCATCCCAATACAGAAAAACTGTGAAATAACAGTATAATTCAGGAAACATAAAGTCAGTTTTCTCACTTATCAAAAATAGTTTGTTGATGAAAATTTCTGAGTATATTCTTCAAAAGCATGTCTATTGACTCACCTGAACAGATCTGCGTACCATACTTTGCTTCCGGGTGAAAAAAATAGCTCTGTATGTTCAAGACTGAATCATTCAAAAAAAAAGTATATTTCCCCCCATCATCATTTATTGATGAAGGAAAGTATGATATGCATATTTGATCAGGCAAGTCAATAGACATGCTTTCGAGAAATATAATCTGAAATTTTCATCAACAAACTATTTTTGATTAGAGAAATTTGACTTCTTTGGATGAGTCTTTTTTGGATATTCAGTTTTTTTCAACGCAAGAAACTTCCAAAGACATACTGTTAAGTTACAAGTCGTAAAATCATTACCGAGAAACCAATTTTTCAATTCCCATGCACAACCTGTTTTCATACAAATGAATTTTTCCTGAATAATATGCTGTTCTTCCACATTTTTCCTGTATTATATGAAATGCTGACTTATTTGTTCAACATGTTTCAATAATGTATCGTGTTTTTAATGTGATAACATCGAAATACCGGTAAAAAAGTTATTATTTGCAATCTGGCAACACTGTTCCCAAATTTCATTCTAAACCCTGTTCGATGTTCCACTTCTTAAACTGTGGATGAGAAGTTGTGGGTAACTTCATACTAATAGATTTGGAGGGGTAATGTATGTATGTATCATTTGCCACAAAAACGAATTTTCAGAAACAAATTTTCAAATCGCTACTATTGATCTCCAAAGTGACGTGCTACGCCCAACCGACGCTCGCGATTCAAACACCCATTACGTCATCGGCGGCTTCCGACCCATTGATCCAGATGCCCAGCGGCCCGTCTCGGCCCACCAATGCCGCCCCAAACAATACCTCATGCACGGTTTCACTTTTAATGCGGCATTGCGAAGTTACATTATCATTTTCGCAGGAAGTTTGTTATTCTCGAGGTAATAGTAGAGGAAGTAGCTTGTTCTTCTAATGGGCATGAGAAATAGTTCTTTTTTTTTGGATATCGTTGTCGTCCACCAGTAACCTACGTTTTATCAGTTAACATATCGTTGGATGATAATTTTGACTTTGGATTTGACTTTGGATTCAGCAAATCATTTTTCCAACACTAATTGAAAGGCTTCCTGAACTATCATTGTTTCATTATAACTTTCCTTACTCATTCAGAAAGATCTGGCACGATATCAACTAATTGCTCTTTTCTTTTCTTTGCAGTCATTCTTCGGAAGATCCTACAACAATCTCAGCTCGATCTCCGAATGCAAAAACAACGGAGAGTGTATCATCAATAAGAAGAACCGCACAGCGTGCAAAGCTTGTCGTCTTCGGAAATGCCTCTTCGTCGGGATGTCCAAAAGCGGCTCGCGCTACGGCAGACGCTCCAACTGGTTCAAAATCCACTGTCTCCTCCAAGAACAGCAGCAGCAGCAACAACAGCAAGCCAACATGAATGCTCAGCAGCAAGGCATAAAACACCCTCAGAAAACCCCGCCGCTGCCCCACCCGTCCCTCGGCATGGGTCTGTTGGGGATGAGCGCCTTTCCCCCGCCACTCTTGCACCTGCCTAAGACAAAGGAGGAGCTGATGCTGCTTGGTCTGGACGAATACAAGCATTCAGCGTCTCCTTCCGTAAGTTCGCCGGAATCTCATAACTCTGATTCATCTGTGGAAGTTAGCGACGCCAGGAGACTCCCGCTGTTTCCCGGGCTGTTACCTCACACTTTCCTCCCGCCACCGGGTCTCATGTTCCCGCCCGGCTACTCCCCGCTCTATCCTGGACTCTTGCAACCTGCCAATAACAACAACAGACTCATCAGAAACCACAATCCTGGCGTTGAAGCTTTCAATAAGAGGATATTTCTGGACGCAGTTCTACAGTCACAGCGCACCCCTACCCCCGAAGAAGTGGAACCGCCCGTTCCTGCCGTCTCTCCCATCCAGGAGGATCCTATTGACCTGAGCATGAAGACGAACAGCGAAAGGGGATCGTCTCCTGCTCAGAGTGACCGTTCTGGTTCGGTTGGTACCGAGAGGGGGCATGGCAGCGAAGCCGATGAGGAAAGTGACTGCGGCTCGGAGAGGGGATTGAAAAGGATAAAGCTCCTGAGGCCGACTCCTTTGGATCTCACCACCAAGGTGTGATATTTAAGTAATATATTTATTCTAGTGGACAAGAAGACTAGATTTCAGTCATCACAGTTTTATGAATCTTCCACAAACAAAGTTTGGGATTTTTTTACGACAAAGGCATGTCAGATCAGGAACTGATCTTTCATTTGAAAATATATCAGAGAGGGGGCGATGACAGATGTGTTGTTCGTCGTTCATAGACCCGTAAACGATGACGCAAAACTCGATCATACTCGCACGAGATTGAATGTGAAATGAAACGTCTGAACTATGCGGTTCAGATTTATTTGTTAGTGCAGTATCAGTTTCGACAGTGAGTGGTATGATTTGCTGATTGATTCGGCTCTTACTTGATGAAGATCCATAGTAATTTCATAAACTACACCTCATAATTCGATCTCCACAAACTTTATTAATGAAAAATATAAGGACATGTTTCGCTAACACAATAGCTTTTTCGTAGTGAACAACGTACGTACGTTATTCACTACGTATGTACGTTATTCACTACATACGTACGTTATTCACTACATTATCCACTACGTACATACGTTATTAACTACATACGTACGTTATTCACTATGTACGTAGGTTATTCACTACGTACGTACCTTATTCACTACGTTTGTACGTTATTCACTACCTTATTCCCGACATACGTACGTTATTCACTACGTACGTACGTTATTCACTACATATGTACAATATTCACTTCGTTATTCACTACATACGTACGTTATTCACTACGTACGTACGTTATTCACTACATATGTACAATATTCACTTCGTTATTCACTACATACGTACGATATTCACTACGTACGTACGTTATTCACTACGTACGTACGTTATTCACTACGTATGTACAATATTCACTTCGTTATTCACTACATATGTACAATATTCACTTCGTTATTCACTACATAAGTACGTTTTTCACTAAGTATGTTCGTTATTCACTACGTTATTTACTACGTTATCCACTTCGTACATACGGTATTCACTACATACGTACGTTATTCACTACGTGCTTACGCTATTCACTACATACGTACGTTATTCACTACATTTGTCACCACGCAATTCACTACATCTAGTTTGATCCTCCTCTTAAAGATGATCACTTGGTAATCGAAACATGTGTCGAGGAAAAAAAAGTTTAGTGTTGGGAAAAAATTCAGTAATATACATTACTACACCAAAGGTTCCAAACAGTGTATCACAAGTATACTATATACGTACGTTATTTACTATGTTACTCACTACGCGCGTACGTTATCCACTACGTTATTCACTACGTACGTACGTACGTTATTCACTGTGTGTTACTGTGTTAGCGAAGCATGTTGTGATATATTTTTTTTTTATAAAATTTGTGGGGATCAAATCGTAAGGTGTAGTTTATGAATATTGAATATTGATACAGATATACAAATTCAGGCATGGCCTCTTCCTTGCCCTGAACGGTCATTTTGTTAACACAATAATAAAAATCAAACTGCCTAAAGTGCCCTGCTAATCAAAGTTCTACCTGAATATTTCATAGTTTCGAGCACGGTGTGTTTTATGAAAATATATTTTTTCTTATTTACAAAATTTACACGCGTTCATTGGCTCTTCGTGCAAATGTGGTAGTTTTGCGTCACCCTGTAAAGGCCGATATTGAATCAAAATATTGTTCTCCCCGTAGAAAAAACCTGGCAACACTGCTTCAAACGTTGACTGTCTAGTTTAATTGATGATCTAGTTAATTGTCGAGCATTGTTTCAAAACAACGTGTAGATCTAGATCTCCAGAACATCGATTGACAGGTCTCTTTGGAACAATACGGAGAATGTGCGTGTCTTGAAAAATAATTGGGATGTAATTGTTATTGTTAAATAATGGAACAGAGTTTTTGAAAATGGCTTTTCCACCATTCCAGACGTTCATAAAAACTGGGACAAATGTGTCAACGAGTCCTTTTGCTGAATTTCGTTTGTTTCATGACGTTTTGTGTTGGTGTTGTCTCGAAAATTTGATTGTTCAATTTTTTTTAAAATAGTTATACTTTCAACCCGAAAAAAATATTTTTCGAGCCCTGAAGAAGAATTGTTTTTTAAGAAAAACTGATGCTGTTACCCAACCAACGTTTCTTCAGAAAAATCATGAGTTCTATCTGATATGTGAAATAAAAATGATATAGCATTTGTGAAACAGCCGATCCTTTTGAAAAATGAAATTAATCGGTCTGTTTCATTTTCTCTCGAAGTGAAATATTTCAAAAGAACTAAATACTGTAAATCTAGTTGCATGTGTATATACTATTTAAGGTTGATTATTGTTTGTATATATGTTTGAGAGTATGCTGTGTGTACATTCAGTGATATTTTATGCAGCTCTGTTTCAAATATTTCTTACGAGTGTACCTCGCCATGTAAATCTACTAAAGAGGATTTTCAAACGGAAATTTTCTAATGCAATGTACAATTTCATGTCACTTCAGTTCCCCCCTTACTATCCTAGAAACGGTTTCAAGCATTTTTCGATATCAGCTTTCGTTCGTGAGATATAGCGCATTGTAAGTTTTAAAATTGACACACTATATACAAGGCTATGTTTCCAATTTTCTGTGTGAGCCAATCCGTCAGGATAGTTCTTTTAAAAATTGTTTATTTGTCATTAACCACTTCAATCAAATGTTTTTCAGAAATATTAAATAACTACTTTACGGTGAAATCGTAAGCCTGGATCAAACAAAAACCAAAATTCTCTGACTTTACTCAAAAATATCATTTTGTGACAGATTACATGGCGGATTTCGTATATCTACGTCTAGTTGGCCAGTATATTCTGTATATTAGTATTGTTTGTATATAGTTTCTTTGAGAGTGCAATGTTGAAAATTGTTATTTATTTATGCCAGTTCCGTCCTGGAAATTATAAATTAGTAGTTGTTTTATGACAGTAGATTAGTATTTATTCGTTAATGAGATTGGAGGTATTATTTCGACCATTTGATGGTTATGATTTTTCAATCATTTGTATTTGAATGAAACTGTGATAATTTTTTAATGAAGAAGGAGGTATGGCAAGAGAAATTATTATTGTTACAAACTGTGTACATAATTTTATTTTGTCATATCTACTTTCTAGTAACTGTGTTCACACAGCGTTCAGTAAATAATACATCGAAAAACTATTCAATCCAGGAATGAATAATTTTCGAAACTATATAATCTCTTCTCCGAATAAAACGAATTCTACTTTCAACCAGTTATTTTGTGATAGTCAAAATAACTTATATACAAATTGTGAATGTTTTATACTATATATGATAATAAACTTTTGTATGATTCGGATATTATTCCTGTCTGTGAGGGGACCAGGGCCAGTTGTACGTTTTTGAATGAGTAGATACATACGTTTTTTACGAAAAATAAAAATAAACAAATTTCCATCAGAAAATGTTTCATTTCTAGACCTTTGAAACGCGTTTTTTTTTATTAACCCAGGGAGTGTTCGGTCCATGTGTTGATCAGTTTGAAACGGATGGTAGTAGGTATATAGAAATATGATAGACAAACATAATTATTCTGACAGTTGACAAGGTCGTCCAATCCAATTTGTATCAGTACCTCTTTTCAATTTTATTGATTTCATTGAAGTACATGGAAATGGTGCTTGTGGTTTCTTTAAAAACTTAGGAATAATACAATAATTTTAATAGTACATATACATTAGACATGCATATGTTTGATTCGTCAGAAAAAATCTGCAAAAATAATCAAATAACAATAACATTAGTGATTAACAACATTCATATGTTGTACATAAAGTCTTGATAATCAATCAAATATAATACGAGTAAGTAAAAATTAATTGATGGATGTAGCCGTTAGTTACTACGTGGTAGAAAATCATAATGAAGAAAAGAGAATTGTAACTTTATATGTTTCTTACCACTTTTATTTGTAACTGCAGTTTCATCCTATGAAGCCATTTTCAAACTTATACATTAAAAGTGGTAAAAAAACATAGAAAGTTTAAATTCTCTATTCTTCATTATGATTTCCTACCACGTAGTAACGGCTTCATACATCAATTTATTTCAATTATCTTTTCTTCAGTAAGTAAAAACACAGTGGATTTGGAAAAGAAATAATTACTTCAGACACTTTTCTGATGTCACAACGTATCGATGAAAAACTAATAGAAAAAAAAAATCGCATGTCTGCTATATCTAAAGGAAAAAATTGTATGCCTTTACGTGAATAGATGAGGGGAATGATACATTCATATAAACGCTTGTTCAATATCTCTCTGGGTTCTAAGCAAAATGATACTCAGTGCAACAAATCGGAATAGTTTGATTTCAATAATAACAAAGTAAATAATAATATTTGACAATACAATATTTGACATACTCATTTCACTATATGAGCTCCACGATATTAGCGTTTACCTGTGAATTGAACTGGATTCGCTGTTAGTCATTCTAAATTTTTCGAGTGGAAATTCCAGAAACTATACAATATGTTCATGAGGTAGGTTGTTGAAATCAAACACATAAGATTCGTTAATTTGAGATTGGGTCTAGGTAATTTCTAATAATTGAAATATATTTTTATGAGTAATGATGAGAACAGAAGCACAATGGGTTCAATTTTCATAAGAATAAATATTATAGACAAAAATAGTGAAATGCATGTACAATTACCTGGAAACAGAAAAAGATAGTGAAGGTGATTTAATCAGGGAAGAAACAATACGAGGGTTGCCTTTTATATTTCGGGATTAGAGAACAAAAACAAATATTAATCATCGAAAATCACTTTATTGTTTTTCAAACCCTTCCCCACGAAGATCTATACACTTTTGCATGCGTTTGAACCAATTGTCGAAACACTTTTGCCAATCTGATTGAGGTTTCTCCAAAACACGAATTCGCAGCAACCGCTTCTTCAGGTGTCAAAAAACGTTGACCTCTCAGTTTGTTTTTTACGTGGGGAAATAAATAAGTCATTCGGTGCCAAGTCAGGACTATACGGCGGATGACTCATCAAATCGATGTTTTGGCTGCTCAAAAATGCAGTTGTTTGAGCCGATGTGTGAGAGCTCGCATTGTCTTGGTGAAGAGTGATCCGTCTTCGGCGGTTGGTTTTCCTGATTTCTTGGAAGACAACTGGCAAACAAATGGTTGTGTACCAC